GCTATCAGGGGGCGTGTGGTGGGAGCATTGAGCTGACCCACCAACATTTGCGCTTATCTTGGTTATGGTATTAAATTAGCTTTAGTTATTCTTTAGACTTGGAACACCCATTAAATTAGGGCCCATAACTGTATTTACAACACGCATAGATCTGTGCCGGTATTTAGCAAGCTTCTCAAAGTGCCATTTTAGTCTTAAGTGCTGAGAATTTATGAAATGTACTTCTACTTTCAAACGTAAGTATTACGGCAAGCTAAGAATCACTCGTACTCTCCCTTTTATTTAAGACCGCTCCAGAGGTCTCTCAGGTGGTTAGGAGCTGCCAGTAGGGGCTTGTGATGGACTGTGGAGACAAGAGACGTGCAAATATTTCAGGAGAGGACGAATGTTTCTAAATGATTTGAAGTAGCGTACTTGATTAGACGGGGTCAGACATGTATAATCTTTGTCAGCAAGTTAGTGAGGGATGTCATCTCACCACTGACTTTATGAAGCAATGTGTTTTCAGCTACATTGAAGGGACATCAATAGTCCAAATTGTCATGGAAACAATTATGCCACTTACAACTTCACACACTGTCATGCGTTTGATCGACTTCCCAACAACACCCCTGTAATCCGATGCAAATAGCCTGCTTTGCAGAAGCAGTAGGTGCGATTGATGGCACTAATATAAAGATAAAAAGTTGATCTTTATATTAGTGCCATCAATCGCACCTACTGCTTCATTTCCAATGTAGCCTATGTACATAATGTATTCTCTTAAATATTCTTATTGTCAAATGTCTTTTGAATGTTAACTCCTATTAGAGTTAATTAATCATTGCAGCACTATTACAAAGCACAATGATTAATGTTTAAGTTTGTTTAAACCATTGGTAAAAATTAGTCCTTAAATTTCACTAGACTTGCACATTTTTGTTCTTGCAATTAGAATTAAGGGTTTATCAGTGATTGTTTGAAAAAGATCTACCTGAACAGGGCAAGCGTTAAAGTATTTTCCCCCACTGTCTGTCTATCCTTCTTTATCGACAACATGATCCTCAATTCACAGTTACATACTTCTTAAATTGATTGCAAATCTCTTTTAGGTTGACATGGACTATGGCATTGACTGGGAAAGTCCACATGGTCACCACCCTGAAGGAGTGCCAGTGCCCGAGGTTCAGGTTCCACGGCCCTTGACTGAAGTGGAATTGCAAAGACTGCCAGATCCACAAGGACCTTTTTCCAATGTTCTGAATGTTTACAGTGAAGCAATTACCACACTGACAGAGATATTTGGAGAGGTTTAAAAATGTAATGTTTGACTTGTAGTATGTTCAGACATTTAAATTGAAGTTAATTGTGGATTGTTAACATTTGGTGCCAATGACCATATCTAATGGCACATTTGATTTTGTATGTGTTTCAAAACCATAACTGAATAGAAGGGTCTTTAAAGTATAAGGCAGTTCTCATATTTGCTTAAATTGTTACTCACATTTTAAATTGTCTCACCAATTTATTGACTAAGTGTGTTGAGCTTCAAAAAAAGAACTTAAGTCAGTAATTCATTTGCCGAATGTTTTTATTAACAATTATGCCTTGTGAGCATGCATGCACAAGCAAGGTGCCTCAAACAGAGTGGTCTGGTATCCATCAAAACATTTAGTTAACAACGGCTGAATCAAAAACAATGCACATCAAATGTTGGGGGTTCTGGGATTAACAAGTTTCTGTCTTAACCTATGAATATTGTGACCCTATACAACTAAATGAAGAGAATGATTTGTCTGTGTCTCTACCAGTGCTTTGAACAAATACAACTAAATAAGATCTGAACTTGCTGTGTCGCTGTCTCTATCAGTGCTTGTGAACATACAACTAAATGAGATCTGAACTTGCTGTGTCGCTGTCTCTACCAGTGCTTGTGAACAGATACAACTAAATTAATCTGAACCTTTGTCTACATCGGTGCTCAAATCTGACAGACTGATGTGTCTGTATCAGTGCTCAAATCTGACCGAATCCAGAGTAGGAGGAGGATATGCTTGCCATCAGGTCATGAACAAAGTCTTCATAGTTTGTTGTATTCTTTGACAGCTTCAGAGTCAAAAAAACAAGTTGATGACTGTGGTAGGGCACAATTGATGATTTCCACCTCCAAGTTTGAGGAAACAACACCCCAACCAGTCCAGAATGTGAGCAAAGTCTTCAGGACTTCCGGAGTACCTTACAAAAATACACACAGGGGAAAAAAATTCGATACTGTCACGATGTGGGTTCATGTCTTGTTCCTGTCTGTCTTGTGTTCCCCCCATTATTGTGTATTTGGTTTAGTCCTTTCTAGTTTTCCCGCTCCTCGTTTGTGTTCATGTTTTCCACCTGTGTTCTTAGTTAATTGCCCAGCTGTGTCTTGTTTCACTCACCCGGTCCTCTGTATTTAAGCCCTGTGTTTTAGTTCAGTCCTTGTGAGTTCTTAATGTTGTAATGGTTGCTTTTTTCTGTGTTCCTGGTCTGAGTTTCTTTTGTTTGTTTTATTATTAAATGTGCTTGCAATTGGATTCATCTCTCCGCTTCATTCCTGCCTGCTTCGTTACAGAAGAACTCACCAACACTGAATCCAGCAGCATGTTCGCCAGTGTCTCTTCTCCAGCCACCGAGCGGAGGAGAGGCCACTCTTTTGAGGGGACCCGGTTGGTCAAGTTTCGTGGTACACGTGGAGGCCTCAGTAGAGGAGGTGGTCGAGAGGAGCCCCGACACCACTCTCCACGCTGGCCACTCTTCGACCCTGGGTTGGTGATGTCTAGCCCAGGGCCCCATTCGCCGCTGGTTCCGTCCAGCCCAGAGCTTCACGTCAGCCACGTCCAGCCAGAGCTTCACGTCAGCCACGTCCAGCCAGAGCTTCACGTCAGCCGCGTCCAGCTAGAGCTTCACGTCAGCCACGTCCAGCCAGAGCTTCACGACAGCCACGTCCAGCCAGAGCTTCACGACAGCCACGTCCAGCCAGAGCTTCACGTCAGCCACGTCCAGTCAGAGCTTCACGACAGCCACGTCCAGCCAGAGCTTCACGTCAGCCACGTCCAGCCAGAGCTTCACGTCACGTCTGCCCAGCCAGAGACTGTTCACGTCACGTCTTCCCAGCCAGAGACTGTTCACGTCACGTCTTCCCAGCCAGAGACTGTTCACGTCACGACTGCCCAGCCAGAGACTGTTCACGTCACGTCTTCCCAGCCAGAGACTGTTCACGTCACGTCTTCCCAGCCAGAGACTGTTCACGTCACGACTGCCCAGCCAGAGACTGTTCACGTCACGACTGCCCAGCCAGAGACTGTTCACGTCACGACTGCCCAGCCAGAGACTGTTCACGTCACGACTGCCCAGCCAGAGACTGTTCATGTCACGTCTTCCCAGTCAGAGACCGTTCATGCCACGTATGTGACCGCAAAACACTGGCCATTATGGCCACAGCCATGTGGTGTGGGTGGGCTGCGCACACACTGGAGCCAGAGCCCGCTGGTCCTGCGCCAGAGCCCGCTGGTCCTGCGCCAGAGCCCGCTGGTCCTGCGCCAGAGCCCGCTGGTCCTGCGCCAGAGCCCGCTGGTCCTGCGCCAGAGCCCGCTGGTCCTGCGCCAGAGGCCGCTGATCCTGCGCCGGTGTCTGTTCCTGTTTATGACCCCATGGCTGCCCCTAAGAAAATTTTGGGGGGGTGCAGTAGGACCCTGGATGGGACCGTGAAGGCCGCACCGCCATGGCCGCCCGAAGGGTCTACTCCGCCGTGGCCGCCCAAAGGGTCTTCACCGCCCTGGCCGCCCGAAGGGTCTTCTCCACCGTGGCCGCCCGAGGGGTCTTCACCGCCCTGGCCGCCCGAGGGGTCTTCACCGCCCTGGCCGCCCGAAGGGTCTTCACCGCCGTGGCCGCCCGAGGGGTCTTCACCGCCGTGGCCGCCCGAGGGGTCTTCACCGCCGTGGCCGCCCGAGGGGCCTTCACCGCCGTGGCCGCCCGAGGGGCCTTCACCGCCGTGGCCGCCCGAGGGGCCTTCACCGCCGTGGCCGCCCGAGGGGTCTTCACCGCCGTGGCCGCCCGAGGGGTCTTCACCGCCGTGGCCGCCCGAGGGGTCTTCACCGCCGTGGCCGCCCGAGGGGTCTTCACCGCCGTGGCCGCCCGAGGGGCCTTCACCGCCGTGGCCGCCCGAGGGGCCTTCACCGCCGTGGCCGCCCGAGGGGTCTTCACCGCCGTGGCCGCCCGAGGGGTCTTCACCGCCGTGGCCGCCCGAGGGGTCTTCACCGCCGTGGCCGCCCGAGGGGTCTTCACCGCCGTGGCCGCCCGAGGGGTCTTCACCGCCGTGGCCGCCCGAGGGGTCTTCACCGCCCTGGCCACCCGAAGGGTCTTCACCGCCCTGGCCGCCCGAAGGGTCTTTACCGCCCTGGCCGCCCGAAGGGTCTTCTCCACCGTGGCCGCCTGAACTGCCTGCTCCACCCTGGTCGCCTGCACAGCCTGGTCTGCCCACGCTCCATGGCCCAGGTCCACCATGACTATGTCCTGGTCCCGTTCCCCTGTGCGGGCCTGGCCATCCATCCCACCTCCGCGTCACCACCCTCCTGAACTATTTTTTTTTTGTTTTGATGGGCGTCGGGAGCCGCCCATAGGGGGGGGGCTATGTCACGATGTGGGTTCATGTCTTGTTCCTGTCTGTCTTGTGTTCCCCCCATTATTGTGTATTTGGTTTAGTCCTTTCTAGTTTTCCCGCTCCTCGTTTGTGTTCATGTTTTCCACCTGTGTTCTTAGTTAATTGCCCAGCTGTGTCTTGTTTCACTCACCCGGTCCTCTGTATTTAAGCCCTGTGTTTTAGTTCAGTCCTTGTGAGTTCTTAATGTTGTAATGGTTGCTTTTTTCTGTGTTCCTGGTCTGAGTTTCTTTTGTTTGTTTTATTATTAAATGTGCTTGCAATTGGATTCATCTCTCCGCTTCATTCCTGCCTGCTTCGTTACAGATACACACACACTGACACTCACACACTACATAGAGCGAGTCTTACTCCAGAACAAAAGCAACGTACCATCCTCTATAAATTTCCGGAGGAAGGTCATTACTCTGCAATGGTCCTCCAGGCTGACGATGTCCTCGTCCCTTGGCCAGTTGATATTGTCCAGAATAATCTACCAAACATTTAATAAATTAGTTACTTATATGAAATTATGTTTCTATACCCTGATAGATTTTGACAGATACCTTATAAACTAAGATGCAACATGCACATAAATGGAAAAAAAGTAATTAAATATAACATATGTATTTGCAATACTTGTGGCGTGATCTCTGCATTGCAGGCCCTTGGGAATAGGACTTGCACATCATCTGGCCTGGAGCTAAAAAACTCCCAGACACCCGTGTCTTTCAGGCCTTGTCGGATTTGTTTAACCTGCTGGGTCGTCCGTCCAAGAACCTGTAAAATTAAACAAAATCAGTGGGGTCTACTAGGATACATTTACATGCTTTATATTCCAAAACTTATTCATCTCTATTCATCCATAGTCTGAAACAATGTTAGGGCTCCTTTTGACTCCCCTACTGACTAGCTCAGTGCTACTCCCTCTGGTTTGTACTTTGGGCTTTAACTGAAAAAAAGCATGCTATTGTCTCTTTAAGAACAGGCCAAATTACAAGGACCATAATCATAGATAGCTTACAGCATGAAGCAGTATTTTCTCCCTCAGCCACCACCTGTTGTTCAGTGTGACACCAGGCAGGTCCCAGGGCAGTGTCACAGAGATAATCTGGGATTTGTCGTCTTCTGACAGGTCCTTGGTTCCTTCCAACTGATCAGTGACATCAGCACAGAAGAGCCAAATACAATATTTGTAATATAGGCAATCAAAAAAGTAGGTGCTTGGCAATACATTTTTACAACAATTTGATAATAGTCCGGTTAGGAAACACTACATTATATAAATAAAACATGTTACTCCATACCAGTGCCAAGACATCCCGGACATCCTGATCCACACAGTCTGACAGGGATATGGTTGCCATCTCTGGACTGCCGCCAAAAAGTACATGGATGATTGCTGTGCTTAGGCCAGTGAGACATGGGCCCCCATTCAAGAATGAATGACCAACCATCCTTCCTGCAGTCACAAATAAATCCCCCTCCAGGAGCTCCTGACTTGTTGAGGGAATAAGGTGGTCACTCTCTCCCTCGAAGAGAAGCACTCTCCCTTCAGATGGAGAAACTGTCAAATAACAGACACAGACATTCTTCTGTATGCAAGACAAATATAGTGTGACATACCTTTTTTTTCATCCAGAAGGAAACCACTCTGGACGGCTCCCATCACAGTGGACAGCACATGCCGTTTTACGCCTTCACCAATAGCAGAGTCACCTAAGTCAAAAATGTGCTTTTATTATAAGTTACACCACAAGTTTTTGGAAAAATTACACCATCTAAGTCACAGCTGCACAGACCTAACATTATAAATTCACATATCTATGAATTTGCAGGAATAGTAAAACATTTTCACCAATCAATCTGCAAGTTAGGGGCCTTGCCCACTCCACCCTGGGCCTCTTGTATAATGAGATGATCGCTCTGTCTCTCTCTTCTTCAGAGTCCATGAGACTCAGGGTGAATGTGAGGGGCTCCATATGTTGTTTGTTTTCAAGAGCTGCCTGTGTGAAAAGCTGGGCTGCTTTCTCTGGGTCCGGTAGTGTAACCCAAGCTTAAAAAAGGGTAAATTACATTAGGAAACAGTAACTGAACCTTTAAGATTATGCATGTACATTGACTCGCTCAATTTAAAACACACAGTACATACATCTTTGATTATCCTTTTAAAAGCAGCTCTGTGATGTTATGAAGATGCAGCATGGAGAAACCTGAACATATGTGACCGATCACGGAAACTAGGGACACAAGTCGGTTCTTCGGCATTTTGAGTTATTCATAGATTCTGAAAGTGTAGTCTCCAAGCTTTCCAACGATGTGTAACACGTGGAAATCTGATAATATTTGGAGAAGTTGTGGCCATTTGAAGGTAGGAACTCAAAAAAGCTCAAATGGGAGAAAACGGCCTCAAAAGATTGTGCATTCTCACCTCTCTCTCCTGCTGGGAGTGACAATAGGGCTCATTTACATCTCATTTAGATAAGCCATACCCCCTGTAAAGCTCCCCCTGTGCTTTACAGCTTTTTTTTCTTTCCTGAGCTAGCTAATAACAATAGGTAGGTATGGGAAGGTCTAAACAGACTAAACATGAGATAACATGTACGTGTTCTTAGAATTAAAACAAAACGACAAACTTTAATGTTTAATGCAAACTCACCCCCAGGACCGGCGAATGCACTTCTGCCGCTCTAGGCGAAAAACAATTGTGCTGCCCCTCTATTTGCAACGTTTACCAGCAACAACACACAAAGACCAATATGCCATATACATATAACGCAAAACCAGCAACAACACACAAAGACCAATAAGCCATAGGCCTACATATAACGCAAATAGTGCGCAACGCGCGTGTGCCCAAAATGTCAACAATATTAAAGTTTATGCAGGAGGTAAATGCCTGCTGGCATTTTTCTTTAAGCAGTCATGACAGGAATTTTCCAAATAATCATATTTCCTCCTCAGATTACTGTTGCAAATCTCTTTACACCACTTTCTTATGTGCGTATACACACACAAATGAAATGTCCGCAAGCACATTATATCATCAGCAGGTTCAGCATCTTACATAACGACTAAGGAGCAAATAAAGCTTAACTTACGTTTCAGAAACGCGCACGGCAGGCCTTCATCGCAGCAAAGGTTTTAACTGCATCCTCTATTTCGATTCTCTGTGCCAGTTCATGTTCTATGGAGATTGTTGCCAGTCCATTAAGTCTGTTCCCTGTTCACAAAACGTTCCCCATTCAAAGCAATCGGGACGTCACATACGAAACAGTTAGCCACCGCTGTCAGCGAGCCGAGCCGCCGTATTCAAGCACCGAGGGCGCGCGCGCCGCGCCCATACCTCTGGTTCAGTTTCCCGAGCCCACAAAGTGCGGCGAAAACATTTTCGGTGTAACTGCCACGGTTCAGCTCGTCTGCGACAATCTTTGCGGCATCGATCTTCATTGAATTTTGATATCAGATAGAGCCGGCCAGAGCGCTGCATAATAAGTAGCCACGCTGTTGGGGGGCGGGGGCAAAAGCGCCGGCGGCTATTCAGTATGGAAATACACACAGACAATGACACGCCCCTACTGCATGCTATAATCTCCGAAAAACAAGCCGATTTCAACCTCAAAATGTACGCTTTTAAATATACCAATACTGTTATCTCAAACATGGAGAGGCTTCTTCATGATCTCAACTAACAGATTCTGCAAAAAAGCGGAAATCACCAATTTTGGAAAAAAACGCTTCTTTCTCATTTTGCTCGCAAGTTGTGCTGCCGACTTGTGTCCCTGGTTTCCGTGACGGGTCACATATGGTACAAGTTCTTATAATTTGCTATACTATGCTTTATAGCAATGTACTTACCATCAATGGTGGCCTCTGTAGGTGGGATTCCAGGACCAGGTGCAATTCCTGTTGCTACTGATATAGAATGACAACCAATTACTAAGTGACAAGACGTGTGTTCAAGGGTTGTCTCAAATCTCATACTTAAGCAATTTCATAACATGCGGGGAGGGGGGGTTGGGGGGGGGTTAACTAAAACATGCAGGACCAATGATTTTAATGATTAGCTCTACCATGCCTTATAGCAATGTACTTACCATCAATGGTGGCCTCTGTAGGTGGGATTCCAGGACCAGGTGCAATTCCTGTTGTTACTGATATAGAATGACAACCAATTACTAAGTGACATGACGTGTGTTCAAGGGTTGTCTCAAATCTCATAGTTAAAGGGGTCATATAATGGTACATGCACTTTTTCAAGTTGATTGTACTGAAATGTGTGTTGGCAGTGCCTGTACACAACCATCATATAATGATAAAAATCCATCCAGTGTTTTTGTTTTAATCTCCTTATATGTTTTCCCCTGCCTCAAATCGAGCCGTTCGACCGTGTGACGTCACACGGTCGGACGCCCCTCCCCCGATTGTTGATTGACAGGCGCCTTTCAACACAGACCCGCCCTCGCTCGTGAGGGAGCTGTCAATCATATTCTGCGCGGACCGGCGCGGTCATTGTTGATATGCTGGAGCACTGTCTATGAGCAGAATGGCGTCTAAGCGATTGTGGTGTTCTGTTCTTGGGTGTAATAACGAACACAGTCATTTTAATGTTCCTAAATCCGAACCGCTGAAGACGCAGTGGCTGAGTTTGTTTTCGAAGGGAATATTCCCCACGAGCAACGTCAATGCTCTCATGTTTGCGTGAATCATTTCTCACACCAGACTGCTTTATAAGGAGGATCAGTATAAAGCTGGATTTGCTAAGCAGCTGCTCCTGAATAAAGGATCAGTACCAGATATTCGTGTTCCTGCTGAACCTCTAGAACAACTGAAGTGAGTGTAACGCTTTATTAAACTTTATATTAATATTCATATCTTTGCAAATCGCTTCACGATGAATGAGTCTAAGGTTTACACTCAGGGTACATTACTGCAGCCTTTCTCAAACTTTTTTCAGTCGGGGCACCTTTCAAAAGTGCATAAAATCTCAAGGCACCCCAGTGTAAAATATAAATTAAAAACACTGCATAACCCAAATGTAAATGCAAATGTCCTGTTTATTTAGACAGAACAGTAATGAACAGAGCATAATACGAACTGTAAATAACAATAACAATAATAATAACAACTTTACAGGGCTATCACTTTTGTGAAAAAATCCTGATCGATTTTTGAGACATAAACGTTCATTGAATCGATTGTAAAATCGATTTTCCATGTCTAAAGACGTTTCCATTTTCAGCGCCAAATATAGGCAAATCCACGGACAACTAACAGGCATTAGCATGAGCGTAAAGTGTGCGCTTGAGACGCGCACAAGTCAGCAATATTTCTGATGATTTATTGGCATGAAGTTTCGTGCACAATCACAAACAGGAGTGCAAGATTTTTGAAAAACAATAAGCAGAGTGGACTGCCATAACATCAATGAAAAACATTACTGCAGGCTTCAACATGGCTGTGTTTACGATAAGAAATGTCAAACAAATTTCGCCTACGTAGGCGATTGTAGGCCGGATCTGTATCTGTATGCATGGGACTGTCTGAATACCGGCAGAATTCACATTTTTGTTGTAAAAAGAGACACGTTATGCAGAAGTATAGTATAGTTTGTATGTGTGTTTGTCAGAGCCTGCAGTTGCTGTGTGACGCGCGTTCGCGCGGTCGGTGTTGTTGCTATAACGCGGTGCTATGGGTTGCGTCACTTGCGTCAAGTTGTGTGTGTGTCTTGCTTCGGTCTTGTGAGACAGATTTTTATGGTTAATTTTATATATATATATATTTATCTAAAATGAATTTACAATTTTATTAATACGTTCATATGTTTAAAAAGAAGAAGAATGTATTTTATGTAAATTCAAATATATATATATATATATATATATATATTTTAGCCTACGTAATTTTTTGGCGGCACCCCTGACAAAGTCAGGGGGCACCCCAGTGTGCCGCGGCACCCACTTTGAGAAAGGCTGCATTACTGCATCTTTTCTATGTACGACGTTCTCCATATAATTCATAATCCCACGTTTATAATGAACAATGCGTTATGGTTATTGTGTTACAAACGGTGTACACAGAACAGAGGGGCGGAGTGAGCAAAGCTCATTATCATTTAAAGTCATATGCACTGAAACGGCGTGCTGAAAACAGAGCTGTTTTTGACCAGGTAAAATAAGTGTTTTCTTACAATACTAATGAGAATTTTTAATTAAAGTATATTACAAACTTTTAATTTAGACCCTAAAGAATCATATTAGCTTGTACAAAAATGGCATTATATGACCCCTTTAAGCAATTTCATAACATGCGGGGAGAGGGGGTTAACTAAAACATGCAGGACTAATGATTTTAATGATTAGCTCTACCATGCCTTATAGCAATGTACTTACAATCAATGGTGGCCTCTGTAGGTGGGATTCCAGTGGCACTTGCTGCTCCTGCTGAGATGGAATGACAGAAATTAGCAGACCAACTACAGTGGTAGCATTCAGAATATTTCAAGAACAAAATAGTTTTTGCATTTTCGCATGACATATTTCAACTTCCAAAACAAATAAAGAACATAAAACTTCACTACTCTTTAAAAGTACAGAAACTCTACCCTCATCCACATCTGGCCCTGGGTCATGTGAGGCTGATGCTGAGGCCGAGGCACTGGCTGTCCCTGTCCCACTTTCCCTCTCCCTGTTTTGGGTCCTGTCACCCTGTAACTCACTTGAGGGGAATCATTATATCATCAGTTAGTCAGTAATGCTCATAACACACATGGCAATATAGCCATGTACAACTGCCATGCCTTTGGTTACCTAAAAAGCCATATATGCAATTACCATATCTGTTCTGGAATTTGGTCACAATTCTGTTTTACCAGCACTAGTATCTGGATAAAATACCACATCTCCGTTAGTGTGTAATGAACTTTAACTAATGTATCAAATATTAAATATGTATAGTAAATTGGTTTAATTCCACCTTTCTAATTTCTCTTAACGGCAGAGTAGCCCATCCTGGAGCCATCAGCAAAAGAGAGCTACATTTTAAGTAGCTACAAATATACATGCAAAAAGAATCCCAGCCTTTTCCTTCACACTCTGGTCACGCACCTGAATAAGTGCATGGGCAGGTAACCCATGCTATCATTTAATGATAGGAAATACTGCTCTCTTCATTGTTGTCATTGTCAGCTTGTGGAGTAGTGTTCAGTCAGTGGAATA